GCCCGATGCGGGACTCGATCCCGGGACTCCAGGATCATGACCTGAGCCAAAGGCAGTCGCTTAACCAACTGAGCCACCCAGGCGCCCTTCTTGGGAGATTTTTAACCCGACTCTTGACAGCTCTGAGAAATCAGACCTGCCTTTAAGGCTGGGGCAGTAGCTGTACCAATGGAACCTACCACAAGGGGGCAGGATCGCTACATCCAAGTTCCCACCTATCCCTGACGTTTCATTTTTTGAGCATACTGCCTACTTGTTATAATCAACTTGTATACTCAGACATATACATAAGTAGAATAGTATAATGAACCCCAATGTACCCAGCACCAGGTTTCAACAACTGTCAACATTTTACCAACTTCCTCCCTCTTTTTATTTATTTATTTATTTTTTAAAGATTTTATTTATTTATTTGACAGAAACAGCGAGAGCAGGAACACAAGCAAGGAGAGTGAGAGAGGGAGAAGCAGGCTTCCTGCTGAGCAGGGAGCCCGATGCGGGGCTCGATCCCAGGACCCCGGGATCATGACCTGAGCCGAAGGCAGACGCTTAACCGACTGAGCCACCCAGGCGCCCCCTTCCTCCCTCTTTTTGTTTGCTATACTGCTTGTGGAATAGCAAAGCACAGCCCAAACCTCATTACATTTTATCTATAACTCATCAACATTTCATTCTAATTGAACAAGGCTTTTATTTCCACAGGCACTATGTCATTATCACATCTAACAAAAAAGAATAATAATACCTTAATCTATCAGTCCATATTCAAATTTCCCTGCTGGCACCACACATGCCTTTTGACAGTTGGCACACTTGAATCAGGATCCAAATAAGGTTATCGCAGTTGGCACGTGTCTTGAGTTTTATACTTTAATATTCTAACTTCCTTTTGTAATTTCATGCCATGAATTTGTTGCAAAAACCAGGTCACTTGTCCTGTAGGATGTCCCACATTTTGAGTTGGGCTGATTATGGTATCTGTCTATCCCCCTGATTTCTGGTAAACTGGTAATTAGATCTTGGCTTGATTAGGCTTAGACTCTTTTTTTGCTTTTTAAGGCAGCAATATTTCATGGAGAGCGCTGAATTCCCCTCTTGGTAATGTTAAGTTTGGTCACTGGGTTCCAGCAGTGTCAGCCTAAGCTCTCCATTACAAAGTTCCCCAACACCTTTCATCCAATTGTTTTAGCATGATTTCATGATTGTCACCTAGACTAATTATTTTATTGTTTGCAAAATCATACTTTTCTAATCCTACCATTTCTTTTGTATTTATTAGTTAGAATTCTTCTACAAAAAATAACTTTTAGCTATTGTTTGGTTACATGCACTGTAACTGATCAAGCAATGACCAGAAAAATGTTTATTTCTCTTTATCAATGTTCAGAGTAATTGTTGATTCACTATAAAACTTCATCGATAACAATGTGTTTTCCTTAAGTATCATTATTAATGGGTTCTTCTATATTTTATGTGTTATGATCAACGGAAGTCATTATTTTTCTTTTCATCCTCAAATTGTTCCATCTTAGGCCAGTAGGGCCCTTCATACTGGTTCCTCAGTCATTTTTTTTTTTTTAAGTTTTATTTATTTATTTGAGAGAGAGAGAATGAGAGACAGAGAGTACAAGAGGGAAGAGGGTCAGAGGGAGAAGCAGACTCCCTGCTGAGCAGGGAGCCCAATGTGGGACTCGATCCCAGGACTCCAGGATCATGACCTGAGCCGAAGGCAGTCGCTTAACCAACTGAGCCACCCAGGCGCCCTCCTCAGTCATTTTTACATGACCCCAATAGTCTTTGATAGCTTCCTGGCTTCCAGACACAAGATGACCCAACCTCATCTTTCCTGCTCCAGATCTGGATCCAGCCATTTATCAAAGGAGTCTTGATTTTCTTTGCTAAATTTTTAATGTTTTCAAAACTGGAAAATGGTGTTTAGAGACCAAATCTGTGCATTAGGGGTGTTCATTACTACTGGATTGGTGATTGTTTCTAGGCCTTTTCAGCAGAAAGTAGAAAACACACTTTTTAAGAGGAAAATACATACTTCATTCATTCTGCTAACTCAGATATAAAATGATCCTAGGCTTGTTTAAAAATTTTTAAAGACGTATTTTATTTATTTATTTGAGAGAGAGAGCATGCGGGGCGGGGGTAGAGGGAGAGGGAGAGTCTTAAGCAGACTCCCTTACAAAGATACTTTCCAAGGCCCCAGCAATGTGTTCATGGGGCCATTTTGTGATCTTTTTCCTAAACACCCCCAATTTTTTAAGCTTCAGACTCCATAGGAACCGAACCCACATCACAATCTTTAGTCAGCCTATCTTCGGGGTTATGGAGTTGGATTTCAAGTCTCAGTTCAGCAGTCAGCTTGAGAGGAGGGACTCCTATATTTAATAACTGAGACAAACAAAAGGAAAAGGCTCTTCTGACCAAAAGAGATAACCCCTCTCCAGATTCTGATCAATTACCCACACAGGTATTAAGGCCTTCTACAGTTTCCCTCTAATTTCAAGGGCAGAAACTAACCCTGGCTGGCATCAGTATCCCCAGCAGAGAGCTGAAGACTGGTAGATGGCACTCGGGACAAAAGTCTGAACAGATTATAGAGCAGGGTGTTGTTGGGTTTTTGGCGGGGGAGTTATACCAGGACAGTGGGTATTCAAGGCAGGTACACACCCCCCCCAAAAAAACTACACAACTTTTAGTCAAATAAGGCAGAGGTCTGTTTCCTCACCTGTAAAAACAAAGGTTAGCAATAAAGCCTACCCTGTGGGATTTGGTCAGGATTAGAAAGGCTAATTTAAAGACCTAACCCAGTCCCAGACTCTAAGGAGAAGGTCCATAAATAGAGGACAGCAAATAAAACGGGAGAGTGGTTGATCCTTGAGGGCGCTGACAGGGATTCTTTGCACAGCGTGCCTACTGCAGCACTAGGAGGAGGAACAACCACTCTACTGACAAATAGTAGGTGCAGAATAAATTGGTGAAGAAGGGCCGGACGTTTCTGGCGGATGCTTACTGAGCTGTGTAACTAACTGAATAATGGGTTGGTCCGAGGCTCTGAGTCACGGACAGTCCCGGGCTGGCTGTCAGGCGACTGCGTGCCGGGATCTGACAGACCGCGGTCCGTCGGGCCGCGAGAACGGCTGTCTTCGCGGTCCGTCCCGGCCCCGGCCGCCTCGGGCCGCCGCCGGTCGCCGCGCGCTGGCTGGATCCCGACTTCCCGCGGGGGACGCCGCTAGGCAGGGCCTGCGCGGGCGGGCAGCGGCCAGGTGCGGGCGCCGCCGCGCCTTCCTCCCCGCGCCGGGCAGGGCGCCCCCGACTCCCGGCCGCCGCGGCCCGGGAACAATGAGGTGCCGGCTTCTTTAAGGGAGATACCACCGCGCCGGCGGGGCAGGGGACGGCGTCCTCCCAGATGATCGCACCCAGTCCCGCGCCGCCGCCGCCTGGGCAACTGCACCGTCCGCAAACATGGCTCAGTGACTCTGACAAAAGGTGCAGCCTCCCTCCCGGCGGGGCGGACGCCAGGCCTCCCAGCTCCGGCCGCGCCTCCCCGCGGGCCAGCCGAAGAGCTCCGCGTCCCGCCGGCACCCCAGGCCCGAGCCGAAGAAGATGCACCAGGCGTTCCGCCCCAGCGACCTCCGCACACCTGCCCGCAGCTCGGTAGGTGGGAAGGGGGGCGGGGAGGGAGCGGGGAGGCCGCGTCGGGCGCGCGCACCCCCAGGCCCGGACCTGCTGCCGCAGACCATCCCCGGGGCCCGCGGGCCGTGCGCGCCCGCTGCGGCTGGACGGTGACCGAGCCCCGGCGGGCAGCGGCCTCCCCGCTCCCGGGCCCGGCCACCCCTGCGGGGAGGGGCACTAGTGGTGCGTTCCGGAGCGCGCACACCTTCGGCGACTCCCGGCTCCTGCGAGCCGCGGGAGAGGGAGGAGGCTGGCGGAGCGCGGGGCGCGCGCCCAATAGGGATGACGCTCGGCGTCCCGGCTCGCGCTACGGAAAGCCGGAGGGGGGCGGGGCCGCGAGGCGTAAGGGGGTGTGTCCGCGCGCACCACGGGGGCGCGCGCCGGTCTCTGACTGGAGGCCGCGGAGGCTGTGGCGCGAGCTGCCCGATAATGGCGGCCTGCAGAGCCCGTGAGAGGGAGAAGCGGCGGCGGCTATCCTGAGGTAAATTTGGCCCTGAGGCCTGGCACAGAGGCCCTGCTGCAGAGCCGAAGGCCTTGCATGCGCCTCCCTCCCCGGGAGGCCTGTCACAGACCTGTCAGCGGAGTCATGCTAGGGAAGGCCCCGCGCTCCTCAGGCCTCCGGCCCGCACCCCTCAGGCCACCGGCTCCAGCTGCGGCCTCCTCCCCAGGCCCCGGGCCTCAGCCGCCAGCCACGAGGAGTTGAGGCAGCCGCAGGACTGGCTCCTCGGAGTGAAGGGCCCCGGGAGGATCCCCTCCGGGTTTCGTCGGGACGCCGCCGGGGAGGGGGAGGGCCTGCTACTCGGCCAATGAGCGGGGCGCTGAGCCGCCGCGTCGGACAACACCTCTGCCCAGGACTGGCCGTTCCCGGGCCCGGCAGGTGTGTGGCCTGGCGGGCCGGCCGCCGAGCGCTGGCTTAGCGGGGCGGGCGTGAGGGCCCGGGAAGTGCCGGCCGCTCGCTTGGGTTCGCATCCAGGGATTTCATAAACGCCCTCCCTCCCCCTTACTCGGGTGCTCTTTCGTGTGTGGGTATGGGGCCGCTTGCAAGACAGGAGCCACTTTGAGACAGATAGTAATTGGTGATCCACGGAGAGCAGGAGAGAGTGTCTACTGTGGACCTGGGGCAAGGACTCCGTGGCAGGATGTCAGACACTAGGAAATGCAGTCGGAATTTGAAGGGGGGTTCCAGTTAGGGGAAGTGGGACTAAGAAGTGATCTCAGAAGCTTTCATTTTCTTTATTAAATCTGTCCTATGGACTTAAAGTGGCTGTACCCATTTTTTCAGGCCCAAGAGTCAGTAGCTTCTTGTTCCCCCACACTATACACTATGAAGATTGGACAGCCTCTTGCCCATCGTGGCAATCTACAAATAAGAATTTGCTCCTGAAGCTCATTAGAATCCTAACATTCTTTGGAGAATGATGTGGCACACTTTAGGCTTTCTTGATTCAACTCATGAGCATTTCTGTGTGGGGCCTTTGCTTCTGCCTTTAAATGATTTATCAAGTTGAATTTGAAAGAACCGTCGGAGGACAGTTTTTGGTGGCAAAAATGGCCTATATCTAAATAGCTGTTGTTTAAATTTAGCAACAGAAAGGTAACAATATTCTACGTACCTTGCTTTATTTTTAGAGGACCATTTTTCTCCACAGACTTTATTTTCATTTATTTTGCAGGAAATGAGGAAATAACATAAACGAAATTAAAATAGGGACATACACAGTTTCCTTTAAAAAAAAAAAAAAAAAACCCACATTTTCAATTCTATATGTAATCTGGTTCACTTTCAGTCCCTAAGCACAAGCCAAGTGTTTGTATTTCTAACTTGTGAGGTTTTTTTGTTTTTGTTTTGACAATTTTATGAACTTTTGTGTGTGTCAGCTTTAAGGAGAAGCTGGAGTTTCTTTTTTCATGATCAGTAAATGAGAATGATGAATTTTTTGGTTTATTTTTAACAGTAATGTTTTGAAGCAGTTTGTATGAGAGGCAGTATAGTGTAATGGTTATGGTTATGAATGGCAGAGCCAGATGGCCTGGTTTCAAAACCCAGGTCCACCAGTTAGTAGCTGTTTTACCTTAGGCATGTTGCTTAAACTCTCTGTGCTTTAGTTTTCTCATCTATAAAATGACCATAAGAGTATCTATTTCATAACGTTGTGAGGCTCAAATGAATTTAATATTATGAAGTGCTTAGAACAGTTCCTGATACATGGTAAGTACTACCAAAGTGTTAGCTGCTTTATTATTAGTATTATTCAAATATTTAGATTTGCCCAAGTTGTATCCAATATCTTGCAAGCACTGCAAACAGTGAGGCAGATAATTAAATCATACATAAGAAGCTATACAAGCCAGTAAGTATACTTAATTTCAACAGAACACTTTGTTGATTTTTCCAGAAACTTTGACCTTGAAGATGGTGAGTAGCCAGCCAAAGTACGATCTAATACGGGAGGTAGGCCGAGGCAGTTACGGTGTTGTATATGAAGCAGTCATCAGAAAGACTTCTGCACGGGTGGCAGTGAAGAAAATTCGATGCCATGCACCTGAAAATGTTGAACTAGCCCTGCGTGAGTTCTGGGCACTAAGCAGTATCAAGAGCCAACATCCAAATGTGATTCACTTGGAGGAATGCATCCTACAGAAAGATGGGATGGTGCAAAAAATGTCCCATGGCTCTAATTCTTCCCTTTATTTACAGGTATGTGTGGTTGAATGGGAAATAGAAATAACTTGAACTTAGTATTGGTCAGCAAGAAGAGGAATAAAAGAGTCAGATGAGCTTCTACTTTTAAATGCAGGTATTTATATAGTTAGGAGTAGATAAGGTCTGCCAAGAACTAAGTAGATGTTTGCTTTAAAACAAGGTTTTATTTAAACCTATGATGCAAATACCTAAAAATAACATAAGCCACCTGTTACGCCATGGTACTTGCCAATCTACATGGGAATGGGGCAACATAGGAGCTAGAGAAGTGATCAAGATTAGAGTCTAATAAGTTCACTTATTTGAAATCAAGTTTTTTGGAACTGAACCCAGAAGAAAAGGAAAAACTCCACAATCAATAGCAGTACCCATATAGGTAATTTGGGCATTTCTTTATAAATTACTGATTTGAATATAAGCCTTTGCTGTTTTAGAGGGTTGTGTGGTTTCTTAACCATGCAACTCTAGTTAATTTTCATGAAGTATGTGGCATAGCACTAGAATGTTTTAATAGTGCTAATAGCTAACATTTGGGTTCCTACTCAGTTCCACACTCTGTGCTAAGTGTTTTATTTTATTTTTTTTAAAGACTTTTTTATTTATTTGAGAAAGAGAGAATGAGAGATAGAGAGCACGAGAGGGAAGAGGGTCAGAGGGAGAAGCAGACTCCCTGCTGAGCAGGGAGCCCGATGTGGGACTCGATCCCGGGACTCCAGGATCATGACCTGAGCTAAAGGCAGTCGCTTAACCAACTGAGCCACCCAGGCGCCCTGTGCTAAGTGTTTTAAAGGCAGTTGCTCAGAACAATCCTGTGAGGGTAGTACTATTATTATCATCATTACAAATGAAGAAACTGAGGCTTAGAATAGATAATGAATTTATCCAAGTCACATATCCAGCAGTTGGCAGAATCGGGAACTGAATGTAGGAGACTATCTGACTGCTAAAACCTCCAAGTTACTCTTGCCTTCAAATTACGTTTTTTGTAGACCTGGGGAAAGCATTAACATAGGAGAAAGGTTTGTTTGTTTGTTTGTTTGTTTTTTAAAGATTTTATTTATTTATTTGATAGAGACACAGCGAGAGCAGGAACACAAGCAGGGGGAGTGGGAGAGGGAGAAGCAGGCTTCCCGCGGAGCAGGGAGCCCAATGCGGGACTCCATCCCTGGACCCCGGAATCATGACCTGAGCCAAAGGCAGATGCCCATCGACTGAGCCACCCAGGCGCCCTGTTTGTTTATTTATTTATTTACTTGGTTGGTTGGTTGGCTGGCTATTGGCATAGATCAAAATCTCTAGTAGGCCTATATTTGCTAAAGAGAAAAGATACTTAAGACATAGCTAGTTAAAGGCCAGAGAAAAATTTCTTAAGTCCAGTCATTCTTGGAAAAGGAAACAACCTTCCATGAGTATGTCTAAATTCAGAATTTTACCATCAGGGCACAGAAGTATGATTTTAAAACAACAGCTTTTGGACCAGGACCAACAAAGAAACAAACACATTAATCTTTATCATTAGAAACTTGCAGCTTTCATTATATGGTGAACAAATATCAATCTTGAGAACCTAATTTATATTGCAGTTTAGCATGCTATATCCTGAAGTTTTACCTCTTAAGACAGTGACTATAGGGCACATGGGTGGCTCAGTTGGTTAAGTGACTGCCTTCGGCTCAGGTCATGATCCTGGAGTCCCTGGATTGAGTCCTGCATGGGGCTCCCTGCCCGGCGGGGAGTTTGCTTCTCCCTCTGGCCCCCCCCCCTTCATGTGCTCTCTCTCTCTTATTCTCTCTCTCACAAATAAATAAAATCTTAAAAAAAAAAAAAAAGACAGTGACTGTAAAGCACAACTACTTAGCCTCTATTCCATTTATTGTTTACTTTTCTACTCAGTATGGGGCACCTGGGTGGCTCAATTGTTAAGTGTCTGCCTTCGGCTCAGGTCATGATGGGATCAAGTCCCACATCGGGCTTCTTGCTCATTGGGGAGTCCGGTTCTCCCTCTACCTCTGCCCCTGCTTGTGTCCCGTCTCTCACTGTGTCTCTCTCTGTCGAATAAATAAATAAAATCTTTAAAAAAAAAGTGCTTAGTATGTAAATTGCACTGATAGAAAATATTAGAAACATTCTTACCACACTCTCTCTTAAACGTGGATAGAACCTTGATGAACTTTGCCATTGAATTGGTCTACAAATACAAAGACATTTAAATATATGACTTAGTGTTAATGGTATCCTTGAGTCCAGATCAAGCAACCTTTATAGTAATTAGATATTAGGTGGTCTTTGAAGGCTTTAAGATGTAAAGTATTGGAGTGCCTGGTTGGCTCAGTCAGTAGAGCATGCGACTCTTGATCTTGGGGTTGTAAGTTTGAGCCCCATGTTGGGTGTAGAGATTATTTAAAAAAATAATAAGAATAATAATATGTAAAGTACTTCCAGACTTGACTCAGTGACTTTTTTTAATCTAAAGCACCTTTTTTTTTTAAGATTTTTATTTATTTATTTGAGAAAGAGAGAGGATGAGAGATAGAAAGCACGAGAGAGGGAAGAGGGTCAGAGGGAGAAGCAGACTCCTCGCTGAGCGGGGAGCCCGATGTGGGACTTGATCCCGGGACTCCAGGATCATGACCTGAGGTGAAGGCAGTTGCTTAACCAACTGAGCCACCCAGGCACCCCTAAAGCACCTTTTTATTTAGTACTCTCTTTTATCTTTTTAAAGGCTGATAGACCTGTGTTTGACTTGTAGCACTTTTGCTAGCTGTATGATCTTGGCTAAATAACTCATCTCTTGGGCGCCTGGGTGGCTCAGTTGGTTAAGCGACTGCTTTCGGCTCAGGTCATGATCCTGGAGTCCCAGGATCGAGTCCCGCATCGGGCTCCCTGCTCAGCAGGGAGTCTGCTTCTCCCTCGGACACTCCCCCCTCTCATGTGCTCTCTCTCTCAAACAAATAAATAAAATCTTTAAAAAAAAAAAATAACTCATCTCTTCTAGCATCTGTATCTTCAGATGTAAAATAATAATAATTTTTACCTTCCATGGAAGTTGTCAAAATTAGAGATGATACAGGTATAATACTTGGCACATAGGAAGTACTCAGTAATAGGTAGCTCTATTCAAATTGTCTTTTCTATGAATTTATTTAGTTAACAAGACATTGATCAACACACTTGGCAAGTGCCTTCTCTAAATTTACATCTGGTAAAAACAATTAAATCTATAGTGTGACCACAGAGTCCCTCTGCATGGCTTTCTCCATTCTCTACACAAATTTTTGTTTTTTCCATGTTTTTCTAGATATTTTCCTTGTTCTGAATGATTAAGTCAGTTCTTAATAGCTAAAAAACTTATCGAGAAGAAAATGTAAAACAAATAACAGAATACAGCCTCAACATAGGAACTTAGTGGCCAGGCTATATAACTTGTTTAAGTACCATGAATGAAAGGTACAGAATGATAATAGGAGCGTATGATAGAGAACCTGACATAACCTGGAGTTCAGGAATTATGAACTGTTTCGACTGAAACTTGAAGGATAAAGAGGAGTTAGCCAGGTGAGTGAGAAAACTTTCCAGCCAGAAAGATCTGTACATACAAATGTCTTGAAGCAAAAAGTACAAAGCATTCTTTTTTTTTTTAAAGATTTTATTTATTTATTTGACAGAGAGAGACACAGCGAGAGCAGGAACATAAGCAGGGGGAGTGGGAGAGGGAGAAGCAGGTCTCCTGCTGAGCAGGGAGCCTGATGTGGGACTCGATCCCAGGACCCTGGGATCATGACCTGAGCCAAAGGCGGACGCTTAACGACTGAGCCACCCAGGCACCCAGTACAAAGCATTCTAAGAATTGAAAGAAGATAGTAAGACTGTACTATGCCAGGAGAGTTGTTTTAGATGAGACTAGAAAGATCAGCAGGGTCAGAGGACCCCATAGTCCATGTTAAAGACCTTAGACTGTATCCTGAGAGAACAGGGAAGCTGTTGAAGGACTTTAGGCAAGAGAACCAATGGCCGATGACATCCTCTACACATGGAAATAAGCGGATTGGGCTCTCTCAACCAGCAGCCCTCAAACTATAGCCCTCAGGCAGTATTTATATGGCCCAGATGCTAAAAATAGTTTTTACATTTTTAAAGAGTTGTTTAAGAAAAAGAAATAAAGAAAAGAAAGAAAAATACAGAACAGAGACCTTATGTGGCTTGTCAAGCCTAAAATATTTACTATCTGGCCTTACTCTAAACCATTCTTTGAATGCTGGGACTTTGCGTTGCTCAAAGCTATTTAGGAAGTTTACTTTTGAGAGTAAAGAGAAGAAGAGAGGAAATGAAGAGTGATGGCACTGGTCTTTAATCTCAGCATATTTAGTAACAGTGCACCTGGTAAGTAATTGTGTGATCTGTACCTTTCTAGTCTTCATTTTCTGGCTCACTGGCAAACACATGGAACAAAGAAAATGCATGCAAAAAAGACATCTGCAGACAGTTGCAATTACAGCTGTTTGCCATTGGGGGAGATGGTGTGAAAAGGTGTTCTTTGCTTCTGCCCTCCAAAATGATAAGAGGAAGTACAAGTAGACTTAAATGTAAAATTAGCAGTTCATTCATTCTTCAACAACTCTTCAGCTTCCCTACTGAGTTTCTATTCAGGGGGTCTGAAAAGGCACCATGGGACAAATGCTTTCAAAGCACTGTATGCTGTATCTTAGAATGGTGTTCATATTCAGTAAAGTAATCAATAGTCTTGAATTTCATTTAATAGAGTTATAATTTGATAATGATAACAAATAAAATAGCGACTTATTCTAGGTTTTCAGCTTGTAGCAAAGAAATATACAAACTCTGGGGCGCCTGGGTGGCTCAGTTGGTTAAGCATCTGCCTTCAGCTCAGATCATGATCCCGGAGTCCTGGGATGAGCCCCACATCGTGTTCCCTGCTCAGCAGGGAGTCTGCTTCTCTCCCTCCCTCTGCCATTCTCCCTGCTCATTCTTTTTCTCATTCTCTCAAATGAATAAAATCTTTAAAAAAAAAGAAATACAAACTCAGATTTGAATTTTTATATCAAAATGTAAAATTTTTTTTTATAAATTGGTTTTTAGAAGCCATACAGTGATAGAGCCAGTATATTTGCATTCTTTTTTTTTTTTTTAAGATTTTATTTATTTATTTGACACAGAGAGACACAGCGAGAGCAGGAACACAAGCAGGGGGAATGGGAAAGGGAGAAGCAGGCTTCCCACGGAGCAGGGGGCCCGATGTGGGGCTCAATCCCAGGACCCTGGGATCATGACCTGAGCTGAAGGCAGATGCTTAACAACTGAGGCACCCAGGCGCCCCCAGTATATTTGCATTCTGCCTGTAGAAGTTTATCAAGTAATAATGGCAGTCTTTATTTTTATCAGTGACTACAGGAAGGCTTTATTTCCTTAACAACTAGTGTTCCTGATCATTTTTCTCTTAATTTTACAGATTGTATAATGTTGATAGTGTATGTCCAGTGAACAAGAAACAAATTTCAGGCAGTTTAATTGAATAGAACTTCCTAATTGATGTTTATACTCCAGCTGGCAATCTCCCAGGTCTACTAGCTGCTGAAATGTCAATTTTTTCATGAAGCTATTGGCTAGGTAGGTAGAGTTCAGCTCCATTAACACATGCAGAAAATGTATAGCCAGTTGGACATTTTTCAAAATAAAGCATTTGTTTGTTTTTGATTTTGTAAGCTGTATGCCCAATGTGGGACTTAAACTCATGACCCTGAAATCAGGAATCCCATGCTCTACCAGCTGAGCCAGCTAGGTGCCCCTAAAGCTATTTTCAAATAAGTTTTTACCTCTTGACTTAGAGATTTGGTATGTATTCATCAGGGGCAAAGTGACAGTTTAAAGTACTGAAATTTAATAAAATGCACCTATGAAAGCACTGACCAAATAAAACATTCACGGGATTTCCACTTAAATTGGGAATCCAGCTTATTAACCAGTTATTCTTTTTCCGTAGTTGAATTGTATAAACTGTGCAGATTATTGTAATCTGTTTTTCCCCCTTTTATAGCTTGTAGAGACTTCATTAAAAGGAGAAATTGCCTTTGATCCCAGAAGCGCCTATTACTTGTGGTTTGTGATGGATTTTTGTGACGGCGGAGATATGAATGAGTATCTATTGTCCAGGAAACCCAATCGTAAAACTAACACCAGCTTTATGCTTCAGCTGAGCAGTGCTCTGGCTTTCTTGCATAAAAACCAGATCATCCACCGAGATCTTAAGCCTGATAACATCCTGATTTCACAAAGCAGGTTGGATACCAGTGACTTGGAGCCCACACTGAAAGTGGCCGATTTTGGTCTCAGTAAAGTTTGTTCAGCCTCTGGGCAGAATCCAGAAGAACCTGTCAGTGTAAACAAGTGTTTCCTTTCCACAGCCTGTGGAACAGATTTCTACATGGCTCCTGAAGTGTGGGAGGGACATTACACAGCAAAAGCTGACATCTTTGCTCTGGGGATTATCATCTGGGCAATGCTGGAAAGGATCACATTCATAGACACAGAGACAAAGAAGGAACTCTTGGGGAGTTATGTAAAACAAGGAACTGAGATTGTGCCTGTTGGAGAGGCGCTTCTGGAAAATCCCAAAATGGAACTTCTCATTCCTGTGAAGAAAAAGTCTATGAATGGGCGAATGAAACAACTGATTAAGGAAATGCTTGCTGCAAACCCTCAGGATCGTCCAGATGCTTTTGAACTAGAACTCAGATTAGTACAAATTGCATTTAAAGATAGCAGCTGGGAAACGTGACACATATATTGTTTGCAAATATCTTGGATGATATGCTGCTTATGTTTTAACAGTGATGCAACAACATAATGTGGCTGAAAAAGAATATAAAAAGCTAAACTCCACCTTCTAAGGGTTTAGATTTTATTGTGGGGTGTTTTTTTTCCTCGGTTTTTCTTAAGTCCAAGCTGGCCATTTTGTTAGTATGTTTTAAATGTGTATTACCAATGTGGGTGTACATTTTTAAAAATGATCATTGGTAGAAGTTTGGCAGGAAAATTCTCTAAGAGCCAAGAAGAGAAGAAAGTCCAGTTTCCTGGAAATAAGTCTCAAGTATTTTAGACATTCCTTGTCAGTATTAGGAATTTCCATGGAAGAAGAGGTTTGCATGCTGGCAATGCAACCTTTGAAGCTTTGTAAAGGAAACATATATGTATATATTTATGTATATGTAAGTATGTGAATGTGTGCATTTTGCATTCCATATGAAGAAAATGCCACTTCTGTTTAAATTATTTGATGTAGGTTTGGGTTTTTGAAATTTGCTGGTGAAATCAGTGATGAAAAATAAAAGAACCTTCCCTCATCTTCCTACCCTGTCCCTCCCTCTAATGAAATCATACTACACTTTTTATTTTTGTAATATTATACAGCTTTTTTTAAGGCATCATTTTGGAGGGTCTACAATTATCCGATTAAACATAAACAAAATTAAGTGATCCAAAGCTGCTGAAGTATGTTTGAGCTCTCCAGTGCCCTATAGCTGCAGGAGTTGAATTAGCCATGCAATCATGTGGTAGCAGGTTGGCAAGGACCTTTATGATTCAGTCATACCTTCTTTAGGTAACCAAGCATTCAATTAACCAATTAAACCATTGCACTGGAACATGTCTGCACTTGAGCATCTGCAATCTGATAGAAATCTGAACACAGGATTCCTCTGTTTCTGAAAACTTTGCAATATATGAACTATCCTACTTGATATATTAAGTTTTGATTTCAAGACTGTCTAAGCCTCAGCATAAAGTTGAAGAAATCAAATGAGCTCTACCCTCACATTGCCTGCCCTGATACGGTCTCTTGTTTAATCACTGGAATTCCTTTCATTTTGGCACTAATGCTGTTTTCTCTTGCCTAATTTAACACAGTAATGATGGTGATACGGTTGTGTTAAATGTTGATTACCTTTTTCTGAAGTGGGAGATGATACCTATACAGCGTGGCAAATGAATGAAATATTGTAGCATCAACTATATCTTTCAAGTAGAAACTTTAAAGTTATTGATTGTATACAATCACTTGGTATGGTCTATGTCAAAAACCAGTAGACTGTTACTCTAATTGAAGTTAGTTTGATTTTTGACCCTATATGGTTGTCTCCAATTTGTTTTCCTATAAATGCAGATAATTAAAATCTAAGCAAAGTTTTGCTAAAAACAGAATATTAGCCTTTAAGGTTAGATAGACTTTAAGACCATTGTATCTAGGTTAGTCTTTATAAAGCACTAGAATCTTTGGTCAAAGTACAAAAAAAAAGTATTAGAATACTGAAATTGTTAATAGTTTGCATGGTCTCCTCAGCTTTTTTTTTCTGAGTTGTGGTTTTTTTTTTTTTTAATTCAAGCGTAGTTGACACCCAGTGTGTCTCCTCAGCTTTTTTGAACTTCCATAACCTATCATAATTTTTTCCTTATTTAAAATGTGTTTGGGAACTTGAGAAGGTGAAAAAGCACAAAAAATTAAGAGTATGTAAAATTCTGAATTATGCGTTACTTGGTCTGGAAGTTTAAAATTTGGACTGAAAGGTTTTATTGAGATAAAACCTTTTATTTTTTTTTTAATAAAACCTTTTAAAATAAAAAAATCATATACTTTGAACATCACTTTCAAGCTAATAAATACAAGACTTTTTTGGAAATGAGAGGTGGAAATACACTGGAACCTCATGATAATTGACCCTCTGGATCACCAAATTACTGTAACACAGATCTGGCCAAGGGGATTGAGTTACTGGAAGTGAAAAGTATTATAATGTTGCATCAGTAACATTGCACTTCGATAGAGATTCATGATGATTCAGGTGATAGTATGCCAGTGCGTTTGCTCTTCAAATATCTGTGTGCTTGGAGCCATGGTTTCCTAAGTACATAGTTTTTTGGTCTTGCCTCATTGGAAATAGTTAACAATTATCATTTATTTTGAAAGATTTCACCTGTGAGGTGAATTCTTTCTTTCTTTGGCAGCAAAGGTATGAGGTGATCGGGAAGTTTCTCCTGGAATTTTCTCAAGTCCTTGTATTCTAAAATAGTCTATGATACCAAGCAAAATGATAGTAAATTCTTTGTCTTTGTTTTTTCAGTCAGGGGGTATTTATTCAGTACCTACTGTGAGCTCAGCACTAAAGGTCAGTTGGTAAAATGACAGTTTTAAAAATGGCATATAGCCACAGGCCTTTTCCAGCCAGGAGTAAGAAAAAGAAGGTTGATGATACTTGAAAATTCCTGGATATTTGCTAAAGGAAAAATGAAAGCAAAAATTTGTGCACAGTGCCTTGCCCATAATAGGTACTCAATAAACAATTATTCCTCAGAGTCTCTTGCCATGGTTTATAGTGTTTTATGAAATTTGTCTTAATTGAAAAAAAGACCAAATATTTCAAATAAGCTTATAGGCAGCTGTGGCCAGTTAAAATATGGGGTTGTACAGTTAGTTCCTAGAATGTTATTTTGCACTAGTTGTCACTTAGACGGAGTTCCTGTAGATTTTTGGTGCTAAGGGATACTTTGTCATTATGATGAAGTAAGTGTTAAGTGTCAGATAAATAGCACACTGAATAGTTCTTTCTGCTGGTCTGTTTTTTCCTCTTTGTTGTTGTTGTTGTTTTTAATTGTAAAATGTTTATCAATCAAACTATTGTAGCAGCTACAAAATAATTCACCAGCATGACAAAATGGTCAAAAAATAAGTCATCAGCACTTCAAAAATGAAAGCAACTTTTGAGATTTTCTTTTAAAATTGTCAAATATATTTTATGAAGAATTTATAAAAGGGGAAATGATTGTAATTTATTGTTCATGACTTTTTTTTTTTAAATAAAGTGAGTTTCAACAAAAAAACCCAACACCCTGAAAATTTTATATTGTTGATTTGGTGGCTCTGTCTAGTTCTGTAGTGTTTTACTTCATGAACATAAAATAGAGGGTATAAAATTTGAAACAATGTCATTCTCAGCCTCACCTATTAAGTGAAACTTTCTGTAATAGAAGCTATTGCTGAGGAAAAGATTATTGAATTATAGGAATTTCTGTAATGGTCAGCACTCTGGACTCTGAATTATAGGAATTTCTTTCAGCATTCAAGTTCTCAAAGTTTAATGCTTACTATCTTGCTTTATTTGTCAGAAGAACTTGTATTGCCTGAAATAAATGATTTTTTCCATTAATCCTTCTATCTCATTAAGATGAGGATGCATCCCAGACTCAGAATGAAATAGTAAATATACCAGGAGGAGGTAATTTTTCAACCTATAACTTGAAAGCATGGTTTCCTTTCTATAAAGTCATCTGGCCCGCCTTTTTTCTTTTACAGGTTTTTTTTTTAAGATTTTATTTATTTATTAGAGAGAGAAAGAGAGCACGAGAGGGAGGAGGGTCAGAGGGAGAAGCAGACTCCCCACTGAGCAGGGAGCCCGACGCGGGACTCGATCCCGGGACTCCAGGATCATGACCCGAGCCGAAGGCAGTCGCTTAACCAACTGAGCGACCCAGGCACCCTCTTTTACAGGTTTTACATGGATGCCTTCTCCAGAATAAAGTACTGAAGATGACAGTGCACTTAGTGGTCCCAAGGACCAGCAGAGGGAAAAATGGGAGACAGAAAACATTAATGCTACATGTGATCTAGCAACAAATAGGAAAGTAGGCATCAAGAATTGGGGCTGCTTCTGACTCTGCCACCTTGTCCTGGCATAGCCTTTGTAGACAGGCAAATTTTGCATTCTATTTAGAGATTAGGTTTTTTTATTTTTTATTTATTTTTTTTTTTAAATTTTATTTATTTAATTGACAGAGAGAGACAGCGAGAGAGGGAACACAAGCGGGGGGAGTGGGAGAGGGAGAAGCAGGCTTCCCGCCGAGCAGGGAGCCCGATGCGGGGCTCGATCCCAGGACCCTGGGACCGTGACCGGAGCTGAAGGCAGTTGCTTAACCAACTGAGCCACCCAGGCGCCCCGAGATTAGGTTTTTTTAAATTGCATCTTAAACTATAAATATTTGCATTTACTAGCTTCTTTGTAATCCTTTGCAGTTTACAAAGAGCCTTCACATGGTTTTTACAAATCTTTTCCGTGGGTTTTACTTAAAATAGGGACTGGTTTCTTGATGAGGAAATGAAGAGTAATAATACCAGTTAGTGAGGTAATGGTGTTAAGGGTTTTAGTACCTAATCTCAGACTCCAGCTGGAGTTTTCTCTTAACAACAAAGCTCTATCTTTCTCACTGAAAGAATGACCCCTGGTTGTTTTGGTCTTTTCTTTAAATTCAAATGTTGCTCTCTTAGTCAACCAATCATAGGTATCCTCTAAAATGCAGTGTAATGACAGACAGTTGGTTTGTGGTTAGATGATAACTCCTACTTGAGAAAACCTCCCTGCCACACCTCTTGAGGGCACGGAGCTGTCTTGCGTCTTTTAAAGGCAGTACTTTCTCTTTTGCAATTATTTCTCGTTGGTTAGAAGGGAATTTTTTTGTTTGTTTTGTTTTAAGATTTTATTTATTTGACAGAGATACAGCAAGAGAGGGAACACAAGCAGAGGGGAGTGGGAGAGGGAGAAGCAGGCTTCCTGCTGAGCAGGGAGCCCAAAGTGGGGCTCGATCCCGGATCCTGGGATCATACCTGAGCCGAAGACAAATGACTGACCCACCGAGGCACCCCTAGAAGGGAATCGTTAAAAAAAAAAAAAAAAAGATGTCTTTGATTTCACTCTTTCACTTCCTGCTCAGCCCTGGTATTTGGTATTTCAAGCTTAGCTTGTTCTGAGCAGAAGTTAGGCAACTTGGTATTACTGAAGGCATCATGGCCTAGTGGCTAAAGGATAGGTTTGCTGTTGCAGATCTCCTATTAAACACTAGCTTTTGCAAATACCTACATAATTAATATGTGGCATTGGGCAAGTCACTTCATTCTGAGCCTTCGTTTCCTCATCTGTAAAACGGAGATGGTACACGGGATGATGATATGTGCATTTCAGAATTTCTGTTAGGGTCAGAGATAATACACGTAAAGTGCCTGGCATAATACCTGGCACATTAAGTTCTCAAATGGTAGTCATTGTTAATTGTGTTCCGATTTTGACAATATGTTGAATGAATGAATGAATGGATTCTCAATGAGCCCGACTTCAGCTATAGCTTTCATTCTTCTCTCCTTTGGGAGAATCTGATGAAAGCATTATATCCTCTCCTCAGGAAAATGTTTGCCTGTGATTTCAGGGGAAACTTTGGGGATGATGGGTATGTTCATGGGTTTCATACATATATCAGAATTCACCAAATTGTACTTAAATTTATGCACTTTACATCAATTATA